ACCCTTTTTTTTGTTTTTTTTTTTTTTTTTTTTTTTTTTAAATCTTGAATTTTGCCGTTGATGTAGTTAATTTTTGCATATTGATAAAAATATTATTGATGTGATCAATGAATGTCCTGATTACAATTGCTTAGATTTGACATTTTTCATCAAATTACTGACAAATTGATATACTGTTATGGATAAAACCCCTTGTCCCGGCTTGGGGACAGGGTTGAAGACATGTGGCGCTCGTCCCTCTCCCAAGCCGGGATAGGGGGCAGTTTTTGTTATGTTATTGTGACTTTCCCTTCTTTTCATTAGGGTGGTTATATTATTACCATAATATAACCACTATTATTACTGCACTACTATTTTAACTGCATTAAATGTTTTTAATTATTGTTTGCTGTTTTATTTATATTTCTAAATATTTTTTTAGTCGTATTTTATCATCAAATTTTAAGTAGTGCATTTGGTCTCCAATCCAAAAAGTCCGCTTTGATGGTGTAAATTGATTTATTTGTACTTCATATTTTTGAATAAAAAATATTAGAAGGAATACTCGACATATTTTTTTTGAACATTTATTAGAGACTAGATGTACTAATTAATGAAAAATTCAAGATACGATGAATAAGAAATGAGGACGCTAGCGCAACAATTAGTAAATATTGGAGACTTCATTTAGTGCTATTAAAAAGTAATGCAAAAGAAATTTATATGTTATCAACATAAATTATCCTTTTTCTCGATAAATTTCGCAAAGTTAAAATTGTATTCGAATATACTTTTTTATTTGATCCATTTCTTTTATTTTCATTAACAGTTTTATTCACAAATTTTGTCCTTACAAAGTTTTCTTTTAAAATCACGTGGATTTTATGAAATGGATAGTTAAAAAAATAGATAAAAATTATGAGTTCAATAAAATATAAGGTTAAAATTAAAGTTTAACTTGTTTATAATCTAAAAAAAATAATAATAATAATGAATAAATTGTCAAATATGATTTCAAGATTTACACTTTATACAAAAGCACTATGCCGGCAGTGGCACAATTAAACAATAAAAAAAACATGCTATTCGTGTAAATTGAAAATCAGTCGTGGAATTAATATGTGGAAATGAATCAAAATAATAATAATAGGGTCAATCAAAATGTGGAATATAAAATTCATTTAGACCTTATCATTTATGTAAAGCAGTCCGACTCCAACCCATGTTGCCGCGAACGTGCTCTATAGTTTGAATGCACGCCTGGGCATACATTCTGCAATGCTGCAGTCAACTATACTAATCACAAACACCTGGTGGACGCAAAATCATAGGCCACTGCTCTCTACTCTGTTTCGACGTTTACCGGTCCAATGCCATCTCTCCTCAATTTTTTCCCCTGAGGTTGGCCACCACTCAAATTCTTACAATGTTAATAGATACCTTAATTCCGTATGACGTACTAGATAATAAGAGTTGCTAAAACGTGCCTCAGGCATCGCATTATATAGACGAGTACTGTGACGATTTTTTGCCGTGGTTGGAACGCAAAGCTGGGACGAGAATTTCTTCTGTGCTTTCAATTGGAAAATCTGCTTATGGAAGGTTTTAATACTCCTTTTGGGATCCCTATTTTTAATTCTTTGGTAACGTAATTGAAAGAGTGTATGTTTGCAGGTCATTATATGCTTCTAAATATATTCGGACTTGGGATTGCATATTGGAGGTTCCTTATAGTGTGGTACGTACTCTTTATTGAAAAATAAGAATTGGGAGATTTAGCGAATGATTAGCTAATTTGAGAGAATTGAGTTCTCAGCAACTATCCAAGGATAATCTCCCTCCAGACATTGCTTCTTTATTAGGAAGTGAAGTTAGTAATGTTGCGAAAGTTGCTCTACTCATTCTGTATGAGCAGAAGTTGGGTCAGGTATTAATATTCTTTCTAGTGATAATACGAGCTTGAGTTGTTATTTCCTCGTCTGGGCGATTTGTTATCTTGTATATCTGGAACATTTTCATTAAATTTTTATTGCTGTTGCTGAAAAATTCAAATGCTGAAAGCTTGCATTTTATTTTTAATTTCTGTGGCCTTCTTCTTGTTCAGAATTCTGACTGGTTCCCTTATATTAGTCGTCTTCCTCAGCCTGCAGATATGCATAGCACGGTGAGTATTTCTGTCTCCTCAATCATTTTGATTTTCCCTACAGGCTACAGTAAATTAATGGTTGAACGATACATGTCTAGGAAAGTAAATTTTAATGAGATTACTTATAGCAAACGTGTGAATGCAATGCTGGTGAAAAAATCCATAAAATATAAAATTCTCTTTCCACATCTACTATCAAGATCACACAATCCTAAGTGCTATTCTTTATCTTTTTCTTTTGTTTTCTTTTATCTGTTGGATTTTGTCTTTCTCAAAACCAAGCTATTGGTTATATTTTAGAATAGTTCGTTCCTCCTGAGGTTTTTGGCTGCTTAGTTTGACCTTTCTTCTTCTTTTCTTACTGCTGATGCCCTAAAATTTTGAGTGCTTATTCTCTAATTAATCAATTCACTATATGTCAATGACATCCTGTTGACTTAGGTTCTGATTTCTCTTATCATGCCGAATTGAAAATCAGATTTTATGCATAACTTGACTAGGATGTCTTTATATTTATATGCGTGCATATGTGGAGTTTTGACGAGTGTACAGTGTGCATATGGGTGACAATTTACTGGTAATTTTTGGAGGATCGAATTTCTTGCAGAAGTTCAGTGTGACAGTTTAAATTTGTAGATACTCTGGAGAGATCATGAGTTGAAGATGATTCGACCAAGTGCTTTGCATGAGGAAACAACTAAACGAAAGGCTCAAATTGAGATGGATTTCTGGGCAGTTAAAGTGGTTTGTGTTTTAATTTTACAGTTCGTTTTTACTTAGTTTTCAAAGTAGATCTTCAATGTGCAGTATTTACCTACGATTGGATCTGTTTGGCTGGTGATAAATTGTGGAAGGGCAGTGCCAAATGTTTTCATTTTTTTGTTGTCATTTTTGTACTTGCCAGCTAAGTGTCTTCGCTACTCCTAGAAAACCTAAGGGGTTATTCTCTTTTTGTTTCAGTTTTGTAGTTTTGAGTTTTGAATTCATTTTGAGTTTTGTGTTTTGAGTGTCTGTTTTGAAATTTCTGAAAATGCATTCTTTTTGCCATTTTGGAACCATTTCTTGTGTTTTCAATTTTTTCTAGTTTTGTACTGGAAACGCCCAAAACGACATTGTGTTTTCTTCACAATTTTTTTTTTTCGTTTTCGAAAACGGGAAAGAGAATGGGTTTTCATCATTTTGAAAAATCAAAAATAAAAAACGGCCCGAAAATGGCAAAGAGAATACACCCTAACTTTCCACCACAAAATGTCGCCAAGTGTTTGGATAGATACTTCTTTCACGTTTCAGCCTTCAGATTTTAACATAATATTATGATATTCATTTAGAAACATTTAATATTATTCAAGCATAAATTCTGCAGTGGCTGTTTTTCGTTTATTTTCTCACTGATACGTTTGGTGTTTGATTTCAGGCTTTTGATCACTTCCCTCATGTTTTTGGAGATGTAAAACTACAGGACTTCACATATGCTTATGCTTTAGGTGAAATTTTCAATCTAATACCTTTTCAATTTTCAATTTATGTTTTTTTATTTGTGTGTGTGAACTCACCAGCCACTTCTCTAAGCTGAACTCTTTTTTGAACATTTCAGTTACATCCCGCGCATGGGAAGGCTCAAAGGATGTATCCATGGTATTTCTCTTATAAGCGATAATATATTATTTTGTCGCATTGTAGCTGGACTAAGTACGGCTTTTTCATGCAATCTACAGATTCCTTTTGCAGATTTTCTTAATCACGGTGGCACTTCGCAATCATGTGTTTTGAGTGACGAAGGCAAACAACATTCAGAGGTCTCCTTTCTGTATCTTGCT